TCTCTCTCTCTCTCTCTCACACACACACACACACACAAAGACCATTTCAAATGCACACTCTGATCCCCAGAGTGACCATATATTTAAAGCCTTACAAAAGTCTACTAGAGTTAGGGCCAACCTGAACTCTGAGAGTTCCCAAAGAGTGGGCAAGTGGGACCATGATATCCTATGCACATCTGGTAATTGATAAGCATCACTAACACAGTGGGCCTCATTTGCAGACAGAATGTACACAATTAGGTCCTTATTCTAAGTCTGGCAATCTGAGGGCCCAGAGTCCGATATATCTCCCAAAATAACCATAAATAAGCAGAACAAACCCCTACAAATTTAGAATAAGAAAAACACATAAAATGTACTGTATGGCTTAAGAGAGGGTTTGTTTTTTTTACAAAAAGAACTAATTCCTAAATCAAGTGAAAATGTTAGGTGGATTTTTTTTTAACTGAATATACCTCTTTCATCTCCAGGATGAAATGCTTCAACTGGGGAAGGTGCAAAAATGTGGACAACATGGCCCCTATCCTGACATTAATGACTTGTTAGTAAGTATTAGGTCACTTTGGGGATCGAGATGAAAATACATGCCAGGTCATCAAACTAATAAATGACCTCATAAGAATTTTTCACTGTCAATATGATAGTATGTGGGAATGACCTTGAGCGCTGGGGATGGGGAGATATTGCCTAAGGAATGATAAGGGAGGGCATAGCCCACAGCTGCATAACAGGCAGAGAAAGAAATCCAGAAAGAATCTGCCCTAATTTATCAGATGATAAAGAAGACACCAGGAGCTTTGTACTTTCAGACTTGCAAGATTTTGTTAATGTAACCTTACAATAAAGTAGAATTAGCTCGTCTGGTTGTCTTTCCCATCTGGACTATCTGGGAAGATGGACAATCAGTTTACCTACTTCACAAGGCTGTTGCAAGAATTAAAGAGGGAGGCAGAATAACAATTCCCTGAATTCCCTGACTCCACAATAGAAGAGGAAAAATAAATAAATAGCCTGCAAACACTCCAATCAAAAGATTCTCCTTCATGCATCTGAATGGTAGGTGGCCCCTCCTAGTGCCACAATTCATGAGAATACAAGAACCTGCTGGTCAAACCCATACACTCATCTAATTCAAGTGTCATGCATTGCTTGGTTGGATACCATTGGAAAACACTCAAGCCTTGCCAGAACTCATAATAGCCAACTTCTTCTCTTTTTTCTCAGCAATCAGTACTTAAGATAATATTAGAGGTAGTGGACAGCTGTCAACATTAGTAGACATTGATAACCTTGAACTACGGGAGAACATTCAAACCCACCAGAATAATCACAACTGCCAGTAACAAATTCCATAGTTTAACTGCATGTTATGCAAAAACCTCTTCTGTCAGTACTGAATCTCATTGTATTTAGCTGCAGTTGATGACTTCAAATTCTACCAGAGAGGGCAGGAAACTCTTCATAGTATCTATGTGATGCAAGATTTCACATACTTCAATTGTATCTCCCCTCTCTCCTTGTTTCAAGCTAAAACAACCCCAGTTGCGGCTCATCTTGTCCCCTAATCATTTTGGGAAACTTTTTTTTAAAAAAATTGCACATTTTCTCTGCTTATAGCAACTTCTTATCTTGCAAAGGCCAGAATATACACAATATTCCAAGCACAGCCTCACCTGAGATTTCTATAAGGACAATATTATATTAGCAGTTCTATTTCATGTTCCTTCCTGATGTTTCTAAGCATGTGGCTTTACCATTGACAGCAGCTGCTGAGCCCAATCTTTCCTTTGAGCTCTCCACTGGCCGACTCTGCTCTTTCATTCATGTATAGGTGAAGTTTGGGATTGTTGCACCCATATGCACTTCTTGGCCCTTGAGCTGCTTTTGTCATTTTAAAGCCTCGTCAGCTGGCAAACTGAGTAAATATACTTGCAGAGCTCTTGGCAATTCCTTGTAGAGGTTATCCCGTGGAACAGTTTGGAATCATCAGCAAACCCCTACATGATGGCTCTCCATTTTTGTAAAAATGTTCAAAAGCACCAGCCCCAACATTTGTCCCTGAACATCCTCACAATGTCCCTCTTGCCAGTTTGAGCAATGCCACTCTAGCCCTGTTCTTTTCTCCTATTCTTGAATCTATTGCCAATCTAGGAGAGTTCCTGTCCTCTTATGCCATCAGCTGGGTTTTCTCTGAACTCCTAGGACTAACCACAAACTAACCTTTTTGTCAAGGCATGCCAAAAGCATGGGGAGTGTGGAAGGGGGTCGCACAAGCACATGCCTGCACGGATAATGCAATGCCTTCCCCCCGCTCATGCGTTCACACGCATATGTGCAGGCCTCACTGAAGCCTCCAGACTTCCGGGAGGTGCATTGGGCCATTTTTCTCCCCCCTGAGGCTTCAGGAGGATTCCCTGAAGCCTCCGGGGGAGGTGAACAACAGCCCAACGCGCAAACCGGAAGTCTGTTCCTGAACTTCCAGTTTGCACGTTGGGCGGTTTTTTCACCCTCCAGATGCTTCAGAGAAGCCGCCTGGGGGGGGGGGGAATGGCCAAAAATCAAGGCCGAAAATCAGCTGGCCAGTGTGCGCATGTGCGCTGGAGCTGACAGGGCAACGCCTCACATGGCCCCAGAAATGGCTCCGCGTGCCACTTGTGGCACGCCTGCCATAGGTTCAGCCTCACAGTCCTAAGATAACGTGACCAGACGTCCCGCTTTCGGAGGGACAGTCACGATTTCTAACAATTTGTCCCGCGTTCCTTGGCGTTTTTAAAAAGTCCTGACTTTCTGGCTTCATGTTGAAAGCGCAGTGGATTTGCTTAAGAAATCCTAACCAGAGCAAGACAAAAGACACTCTGTCTAATCCCTCTCTATGTCTCAGTACTTTCATTGAAGATATTAAAACGTTAAAGCAAGAAAATGGAACCCTCCCCCGCCCCTTTTACTTCCTCTTATAAGAAAAGATGACACAGTACCATAGAGCTCCAGGAAATACTTTGGCTAGAGAAAGAGCGACTGTTCCTTCCTGGATTTCCCGGAGGGGAGGGGCACGGA